ACTAGGTGTCTTCCAAAAAAGAGATGACATGCAGCAAGGGAACAAGTTTATCCAAGTCCACCTGTGCCCTTGATCTGATGCCAATAGCACTCAATCAGAATTTTTCATATCCTAAATTATATTAAGCTGGAGACAGGAGTCAAAAACCCCACACCCCTCAGATTGCTGCTTCAGGAACTCAGTTCTTAAAAACTAAGGACTTAGCAGGGTTAAGGTACCATGTGAGAAACAGCCACACTCACAAAGAAAAGAAAAAAAGACTCCATTTTATAACTCAAAAGCCAGAATGAAGCAGTTCCATGCTTTTTTCATTTAAATAAAAGATTTTTATTTACTGCGTGCACAGGGAGAAATCACAGAGTGAAAACCTCCAGTGCCTTTTTTTTAAAATTTCAGATTAATATGAGTGTCTACATGATTAGGTTACAATGTTTGCTCTTAGGTTATGGTCCCTGTTCTAATTGTGTCCTACACCCAGGTGTGCCATATACCCCTTGCATTGTATCCATTAGGTGCACCAATCCCCCCTCCCTCCGCCCACAACTTGAATTAAATTAAGTTGTTAAAAATATGAAACGCTGAGTGGTGCCCGTGGCTCAAAAGGGTTGGGTGCTGGCCCCATATGCCGGAGGTGGTGGGTTCAAACCCAGCCACGGCCAAAAATAAAATAAAATAAAAATATGAAATGCTTCACAAATTTGTGTGTCATCCTTATGCCGGGGCCATGTTAATCTTCTCCAATTTTAGGATATGTGTTATCCAAGAAAGCATTTTTTTTTCTTTTCTTTCTTTTATTTATTTTTTGCAGTTTTTGGCCAGGGCTGGGTTTGAACCCACTATCCCTGGCATATGGGACCAGTGCCCTACTCCTTTGAGCCACAGGTGCTGCCCCCACTATTTTTCTTTTTAATTACAACACCCAAATCAATAACACCTACGGAAAAATGTACCACCACTGAGGTAGTAGGAAAAGAAAGGCTAGATTAAAAAAACAAAATTTGGGGCAGTGCCCGAAGCTCAGTGGGTAGGGCAACAGCCACATACACCAAGGCTGGCAGGTTCTCATTTGGCCCTGGCCAGCTAAAAACAATGTCAATTGCAACAACCAAAGTAGCTGGGCATTGCAGTAAGCGCCCATAGTCCCAGCTGCGTGGGAGGCTGAGGCAAGAGAATTGCTTAAGCCCAAGAGTTTGAGGTTGCTGTGAGCTGTGATGCCATGGCACTCTACCGAGGGCGACACCTTGACACTCTCTGCTTCAAAGAAAAAAAACAACTAGAAATTGAAAGAAATGTGGCCAGTCAGTCATGTTCAGGTTTTACAAGCACAGGCTTCCAAAATGATCTTTGATTCTGAGACTTCAAATAAATAACCTTGATATTTCACCTGAAACCTAGCTCAACCCTTCATTTAAAAAAAAGTTTTTATGGGCGGTGCCTGTGGCTCAAAAGGGTAGGGCACCAGCCCCATATGCCAGAGGTGGTGGGTTCAAACCCAGCCCTGGCCAAAAACTGC